CGTCCCAAGGCAACCATCACCGATACTGCTACCATGATGTCGAAGCTCTTTCCTCGAGCCTACGGTGTCGCTTGGGGCCCCCACGGCGTCCACTACATCGACTTCAATGAATTCGATCGTTTCTTCGACAAAGAAAACTTCGACTTTGCTGCCGAGCGCGTTAGGATGCTTGGTCAGGATACCAACAAGTGGTCCTCGGCTGCTCCCCAGCGTCCTTTCGAACACGTCATCAGCCTGGTCTTGAAGTTCCCGTGGACTCATCCCGCCGCCCAGGAAGATGCAGGCCATCTTCGCAGCTTCGCCATGTACATGGCCAGCACCCTGGCTGAGCATTTGCGGGACATCAAGGCCCAGAACCTGACCAACACTCTCCATGCCCGGAGCGCGCTCAACCAGGCTGTTCTGTTCCGTTTGTGCGGTATCATCAATGCCTCCGAAGGCTTCTGCTTGCCGGACAAGAAGCAGATGAGCGATTTGATCTCCACCGTCTAGGCTGGGCTCAGCGCTAGACTCTTTCTTTCCTAGGCCTGCTCTTCAGCCCTAGGCACTTCCTTGCTTTTGGAGCCACATGCTTTTGCTGAGCTCACCTTCCTCGAGGCAATTTGGCCTCACTCTTTGCTAGGCGGTTTCGGGCCTAGTTTTCTTTGTAGTTATCCGTTGGCTTCTATTCTCCCCTTCCCCCCATGCACCTACTTCGATGCATACCTTTAGCCTCTCAAGTAGTGTATATGGTAGCTAGTTTTGTCATTCTAATAGTATTCGTGCGTTCTCCAGGTCTTGTTTTATGCCGTGATCCAAGCTAGTTGAAGTAATCCCCATGGACGTCTGATTAATTGTTGTAACAAGCTATACTAACCGGAGCCACGCACTTCAAGCAGTCTCCATCCTCCTGTTGGAGTGATAGCGTCCGCAGTATCCTGTCCATTCTATAACTGAAGTAAGTCAAAACCCAATCCCTACTACCCTGTGTCAGCCGGATAACCCTTCACAAGCAGCAATCGAAATGTGTCCAGACTGTAGACTCTCGAGCTTCAAAGCTTATCACGCCTGTACAAACTACACCTCGAAGCAGTCTCAATTGTCCCTGATGGAATGATTGGGTAATACGCGGGCTCCGCCACAGTCAAATCTCCACGCAGTTTCTGTCCACCCAAAGCGGTGTTTTTGCCCGCCCTTCAGCTGAAGTAAGTCCAAGCCGCATCATCAGCACAGCAGACCAGCTGTATGATCCTTCCCGGGTAGTAGCTGAACCGGCTCCAGAAAGAAAATTCTCGAATACCCAACGAATTAGTACTATGTTTACTCTGCAGCTCAGATTATTCCACGCTCTAGTACCAGCACTCCAGATCAGCCCTTTCACCCTCCATAGGTAGTAGCTGAAATGATTCTAGACCGCAGCTCCAAAGGCTTACAGGCTACCCTGTCTGGATAGCAGTAAAGCTTCAATCGATTACCTCTGCCTTTTTGCCTGCGTCACGTACTTGAGGCATCTTAGAGGCTGCTGCAAAACAGTGACAGCTGGAAGCAATATTCTATCGACAAACAACTGAAGTGAGTCCAAGCTGCATGATCAGTATCGACATCAGCCCATTCATCGTTTACGGATGGTCGCTGGTATAATGTCAAACTCCAGATCGTCCAGCTCTAGATCCTCATCCTATTTAAACCACTCGAGGCACAACCCATGGACACTCAACAATCTCCGGAGCAGCCACGATTAATAATAGCTAAGCAGTTCAGGCAGTTTCGAGTCTCCCTCTCACAGCAAACGAGCCAAGCGTATGCTATGCCACGGTGAATTATGGATGGAGCTCTCCGTCATCAGACAAGTAACCGAAGTAAGTCTATGCTCCATCACTAGTACACTAAACAGCCAAATCACCCTTCATGGGTAGTAGCCACAGCGATTTTGAATTGCAGATATTCGAAGAATCCGATCCGAATTTGGTGATCTCGGGGCGCTCACCTCGAAGACAAAGTCAGACCCATGGCTGTGGCTGTGGAAGGAGTAACTTCAGTAGCCGATACAAAAAAACAGGGTAATTCCACTGATCAGGCGTGCCCCGAACTGAATTCAATTTGTGGTTTTCTGAAATCGGCTAGTGCAGCTGTAGGACCAGGGAAACCCTCAGTCCAAACCACGGGCATCAATCATCGCTGACTAACGATCAACTCACTCAGAAGAGACACTCAGAAGAGATAAAAAACTCCGTACACCCCTTGAAGTATTTCCTCAAACTTACATTCCAATTCTTGTCGACCTTCTGCTCACTGAACAATTCTGCCTGACTACCAACTTTCAAAACCCGCATCGTCACAGAACAACCGCACAAATCATCTTCTTACCACATACCAACTTCAAGTCATGGCTGTTTCATCTTCCACTACCCTGGCTAAGCCTCAGCATCAGACCAGCAAGAGCAGCTTGAAGAGATCATGCGCACACCTCAACGAAGATAACCCCATATCAGATATTGGCAAACGCGGCAAGACGATCAAGCCGGTAAAGTTTCTCGTCATAGCAGACACACATGACTATGACTTAACCCACGACGCCAGCTCGGCATTTCGTCTCCCGGCACCCGAGGGCATTGATGTCGTCCTCCACTGCGGCGATCTGACCGAAAATGGCACGCACGAAAGCCTGACCAAAGCGCTGGCGCTGCTCGACTCGATCCCCGCCGAGCTCAAGCTTGTGATTGCTGGGAACCACGACATCTCCCTTGACAAAGACTTCTACCTCAAAGAAGGCGGTAATGAGTCCGACGTTGAAAAAGCTGTTGCGCTGATGAAGGACGCTCGCGAGAAACACGGCATCCACTACCTCGAAGAAGGGACGCACGAGTTCAGCCTCCAGAGCGGTGCCTCGTTCCGCATCTTCGCCTCTCCATACACACCGAAGTACGGCGACTCGGCGTTCCAATATCCCACAAACGAGGACCGCTACAATCCTGCAAACACTACGCCGGCATGGGCTACCAACGTCGCTTCCACCACCAACAGAGCCTCCATCATCCCAGAGAACGTTGATATCGTCATGACACATGGTCCGCCCAAGTACATCCTGGATAAAATCCCGGAGGGCGGAGACAACTACCGCAGCGGCGGCTGTGAGCACCTCCGACGAGCGATTGCCCGCGCCAAACCCCGTCTCCACTGCTTCGGCCACATTCACTGTGGATACGGCGCACAGCGCCTGGCGTTCACCAACCCGAGCAAGGCCGACGATGATGACGGTATTGACTGCTACCCAGAGGAATATGTCGGCAAGAACGGGGCGAAAAGAAAGGGATATGCGAAACTGAACCCAGGCAGCGCGGAAGCGTTCGAAGAAGGAAACCAAACACTGATGGTTAACGCAGCCATTATGGCGGGCGAAGATGAGCCTGTCAACGCGCCGTGGTTGGTCGAACTTCAACTCCCCGTTGGAATGTAGTGGACACTCTTTCCATCATCTCCACCAACAAGCAACAATTGCACGGAAAGAGCAGTCATCGCCGCACTACCACACTCAACTACCCATTGGGATGTAGCGAATATCCCTTCCACCATCCACCAACGAAGAAAGATGCCATGGAAGTGCAGCCACCACCCGCCACACTTTCCCACGGCAACCACGGCAACCAGAATCTTCATCATGTATCTTCAATCCACCGCCTCCCAGGCTTCCACTCAACAACATTAATACCGCATTTTCCACTGCGCCCATCTATACAAAAAGATATCCATACCAACATCGATATCCCACGACCATGTCCACCAGAATCACTCCTTCCCTCCACGCCGCCATCCTCTCCGCCTTCCAAGCCGCTGCAACACTCCTCCCTAACAATCTACGCCCGCAATTTGTCCTCGTCGGTGGCGCCGCCCTGCTTCACTACGGTGGCACCAGACCCACCGAGGACATCGACATCGTCGGCAGTGCGGAGGCGCATTGGGAGTTTTTGGAGGCCGCGCGGCGGGATGCGCACTTCTCGGTTCTGATGGATGGTGGTTTGTTGCTTTTCTGGCTTCTCTCATCAATCGATTTTAGTACCACACATACCACTACAAACAATGAATCCGATGGCTCTGGAAGACGAAATGAGGCGCGAACCGACTTCGACCTCAGAAATGATACTGCGCTGGCCAATTACAATTCAATAAGCCATTTGCAGGCTTTCTTCTCGTTTTCAATAACCACTTTGGGCTTGCTCTTACAACCTGACAAGCTGTTCTGAGGCCCGCTTTGCAACAGACAGAGGCCTGGTTCTGGTTTGCTTCGACCGCGTCCGGCTACCACCACATTAATCGGGCCTCGAACTGGACCGGCACATTAACTCGCTTCGTTATCAATGATCGATGAAGATGTCTGTTCACTAAACATCAAGTTCTGCAACAGCCTTCATACAGTATACATCACCAACCGGCCTCGTCATCCGCGTCGACCTCATCGAACTGGGCGGCGAAGCCTGCCCGCAGCTCGTTGAATCGCCGGTGAAGTGTGGAGAGGGTTTCGTGGCGAGCTTGCGGGAGTTATGGCGGATGAAGGCGAGGGCGCATGCGGTGACGAGGGCGGAGGAAGGGGGGAAGATGGATGGGTGTCATGGTCGCGATTTTAGTGATTTTGTATGGATAGGGGCGCGAATGGTGGAGTTGGATATCCGGTACGATATTGTAGAGCTAATGGAGATGCTGGTGAGGGAGTCGCTGGAATGCCGGTAACTTAGCGACTTCCACGCAGTCCTGATCTTTTCAATAACAACTTGATCGTGTCCTGGCGCACTTCAACCTCTTGAGTGTCCACTGTACAGATTCGCTTCGACTTCCTAGCTTTCAAGTGTGAAGTTGGTGCTGGAAGCCTTGCGAGTGCTTGTTGATCTCCTCATCAGATGGGAAATTCCACCTCCCCATTCCACATCTTGACCTAACGTTCCAAAAATTCTACTCAACCTCGGGAACGTACGTATAATGTACATAAAGTTATTCTCTGCTCTCTATTATATCAATTCACTACAACAGCGTTGGTGGTTTAGTGGTAAAATTGGCCGTTGCCACTTGGTGTGCGAACATCGAGCAACATCGGCCAGCCCCGGGTTCGATTCCCGGCCGACGCATTTTTGGTCTTTTTGCCGTTCGTTTGAGCGAAAAAGCTTGGGAAACGGTGGAGGAATGGTGGAGTTGCGTTGCGCGGTTTATGGGGCTTGTTGAAGTTTTTTCTGGGGCTGGAGCGGAGCGGAGCCTGCATTGATTGGCTGGGACACCGTGCGCTGGCCGGATCGGGCTTGGTGGTAGGGCGAGGGGAACCCGAAGGTTTGCGAGTCAACACCATGAACTGCAAGGGCGACAACTTTAAGATGTGATATGTAAGAACCCCCCAAGTCGTCGTGTGATTTGCGCGGCGTAATCATTTGCGCTTGAGCGCTACGTCGCCCGTGTGATAACTTATGATATCGCCCAGCCAGTAACATAGATAATACGCTTGTCTCGTGGTTTTTGCGACTTTCCTCATCCTGAGCAAATAAGTTTACCTACCACTATGCGCTCGGCGCCAGCATTGCCACAGATCATCGACCTGTTCGTGCACTACGCGTACTGAGGCCCAGTCAATTTACTTGTGACCAGACCGCACAGACGAGGGAAGCCAGAACTACCGGTACGCCTCTGCATGTATTGAAGCAAGCCTTGAATAAAGTTACTAGGTCGTTGGAGTGGGTTTAAATAGCGGTCATGGTAAGGGAGAAGCATATCCACGTTTGAAAGAGGCTTGGATCTGCTCGAGAAGAAAGAGT